GTTAGCGAGATATTATGGCTCATACAGAATACATTACGGACCAGACAGATTATAAGGACTACAGATATCCGTCTTACAAGACGGATATCTGTTACAATTGTACTTCGTACATGGAGCAGTAGGCGGTGTCTGCACAACACGTCAGGTAAAATTTGGTTGCCCACTTGTTTGGCTTTGCTGGCATGTACTGGCGCATTGGGTTGCGGCGATGACGCATCAGCACCATCCCTTCGTCGAACGAAATCCGTGCACCCATTCGGTATCCTCTGAGGAACGTCTTCTGCAGCGCTTGAACCACGGGCCGAATTTTGAAGGCCCGATCCCCACTGTCGGACTGTCGTTCGTTGTCGTTGAAGTGGGGATATCGCGCAATGTCTTGGAACCGGACCCGACTCAAGAGCTGGCCAAACGTGCCGTGCGCGAGTGCACCCTCGACATTCGTTCCCCAGTACCGACTTAGACTCTCTCGGCGTGGCTCTAGTGCTCGTGCGATAAGCAAGCCGATGAACCGAATGATTTCGTGGGGCCGGATGGATGGCTTGCGCGCTAGTTTTGCCTTGTACTCATCAATGGTCAGCACTATTGTTGAGGGAACGCGTTCGCGCCGCTGACGTGCCCGTGCACGCATTTGCTGCGCAATACTGTCGATGCTGTCCGTACGGTACTTGTTCGTTTCGGCTGCAATATTTTGCCACAGCTCCTTCGGCAGGAAAAAGTAAAATATCGCGATAGGTTTCTCCGCGTATGCCAGCGCAGCTCGGGTTGGACCAGATGGGCCGTCTTAGAGGGGTAATGCATCGTGTCGCACTTGGCCCGCGTGGCGTTCACCGAACACCTCCCACCCCTCTGCTTGAAGTCTGTCAAGCTCTGGACCAGTCACGTCAAACTCCACTGGCACTTCGTCACGCTCAGTTGCCACGTCGTCATCAACTTGGTCATCAACAGCAACAGCAACTGCCTCGTCCACTTCATCGTTTTCGTCCGCCAGAATGAACGCTTCATCACCTTCCGCTTCAGAATCTAGAGGGAGCAACCAGTCGCCACCTCCAATGTTTATATCATCAGCATCAGTTGGTCCAAACAGCCGGTCCCGTCGCAGTGCAACCAAGAAGTTATCCGAATCGAAGTCATCCAGAGGAAAACCAGCGTGCTCCGCGCTTGGAACTTCTGCCGGAGTGGGTTCCGCCGTAATAGACGATTCAGGGGTTTCCTCAACCTCGACAGGGGTATCCGGAACAGGTTGCGGGGTATTATCCGTGGTACGTGAGGTCGTCTCCTGAACACCAGGAACTGCACAATTCGTAACAAGAAATTTAGTATATATATCGCAACAGTCCGCATCAGAAACTCAAACGTACCAGTACGGGGCTGTTTCGTATACGTTATTGTACTCGATGCCTTGCGCTTGCTTTTCGGTCGAGGTTACGGATCCGTTTCAATGTCGTGTGCCGAACTAGTTGCCTTGCTTGCGGGTCGTGGTCTGCTAGAAGCTCTGGCCTTGCCAGGTGCAGGTGGTACGCTTGAGACAGTCGACTCTGTCGCTGGGGCAGTGGCTTTGGCAGCAGCCCTCGGCCAAGCAATCGCAGTGTTCTGCGCAGCAGCTTCCTTCGGTGCGGCAACGGGTGCAGCTAATCCAGGCTCGGACGGCGCAGGCACCGCTTCGAAATCTGCTTCAGACCGCGCGGGATTCTCTCCAGACAGCGCTGACGTGGTCTCGGACGGACCAGGAGCATTTTCGGGTTGCTCGGGCTCGGCGATGGTCAGCGTCGAAGCTGGTGGAGCTGGCTCGAGGGCAATCCATCCTTTACGGCGGCAGTAGCGAAGCAGACTCATATCGCCCGACAAGCGTACACGGGTAGTTGCCGTCACAGCACATTTGCATCGGTAGTCTTACCTTCGTAGTAGTCCACGCCTTCCGATCCCGCGAGGTTGCCACCGGGGGGGGGGGGTAGCGGGGGGCGTTGCTGAGGCCAGAGAATTTTCGATACAGCCAGCCTTTCTTCTTCAATTCGCGCCATATCTGGTTGAACGATATCTCGTAGGTGAACATCTTCAGGAGTGATGGTCTCTTCTCCGGCGCTGATTTCCAAATGGAGGGCTGGGAGAGCCTCTTGACTTCTTATATCTGTAAACCTAACCGCTTCCTGACAATCCCGTGTCGCGGTGTGCAGATTACACTTAACCTGTTTAAATTTATCGCATACAAAATTCAATATGCTGAATTGTCTTCCCTCGAGTGTTGTTGCGGACATCTCGGAACAGTTTCACCTCTATAAATTATTTTCCGGATTATCCGTCATATCGTAGTAGAATCAGTCTGCAGGTTCTCCCGCATATGCGCGATGAGCCCCTGCTCGTACGCGTCAAACGCATTGATGCGTTCGAGCTGCTCGGCCGGTGTTGACACCACCAGGCTCTGCAGGGCCTCCATCCCGAAGATGCCTGCCATCTTCCGAACCGACTCGAACTGTGAGTCGTTCATTTGGGAGAAGTCGTTCCTATCCATGGCAACGAACTTCGGAGAGGTTCAGGTAGTCTATCCGCGGCGGCGTGGATTGACTACGAGTGCTACCAAGTGCGACGGGGTCACACAGCACCTTGTGCTAGAGGAAGTTAGCTTCCGAGAGTATACAAACTCTCAGTGAGCGGCAGCTCACAGGTCCCCATTTATCGAAAGGGAGCAAACAGACCTATTTAAGGTAGAGTGTAAACTGAGTATATGTATAGGTAGATAAAGCTTGGGTTTAATACAAACTATAAGTCACCTATAGAAAAGCAATGTCATCAGCCAATGGTTGGCTTTGGACGACCTTGGTACCTTGTACCAAATATCCCGAAGTATGACGTGTCACACTTCATGTAACCAGGGTACACTTAGGGCTACGTACCCCGTTACATAGGATCTCGTCCGAACATTTAGCAATCTCCAGTGTCCATGGTGAAAGTAGGGCTGCCCTTTGTCCCAGCCGTCTTTTCAACGTACACCTAGATCTGGGCTAGATCCATCCATTCAACGTACATCTGGATCCGGCTCAGAAGCGCGTAGTCTCGCCCAGCTGACATTTTTTTTTCAAGCGACTCCTTGGCATCCTTCAGCTCATCAGAGAGACGAGCCAGGGCGACGTTTGGCGACGCGGAAGGTGGATCCGGCTCGGGCGACCCTCCGCGGGCTAGTGGTGAAGCTTGATTGTCTTGGCGAGACGTGGGGATGGGGTGGAGTAGTAGTGGTAAGATCTTCCCTCTGCGTCCGTAGGTGTTTCTGGATCTTAAAAATATATTCGAGCTTGGTGAGTCCAGGGCCTAGATCTGGGATCTGGCCGTAGGGTTGCCTTGCGGGTGTGTTCCCTTGCCTTTATTTTCCTTTGCGTCATACTAGCCGCCTCCTGTGGCGGGATCTTGATAATTGAGAGCTTCTTAGGTATACCCGGCCAAGTAGTAATACTACCGGCAAGCCAGATCCCAAGTGAACGAGCGGTTGCGAAGTGCGATACAGGATCGAGCGGATCGACACAACGAAGAAGTCATCCCCATCAAATCCAGGTGTTGAAGTCTGATTCATAGTTAAGCCTATACCTGCCTGAATTTCTACCTTCCATGTCTTTTATCTGCTAAATCCCCTACCAGGCTCCGCTGCATGTCCTTTTTTCACCTGGTGGATCTTGCCTTCTCGTTTGTCGTTGATACCAGATCCACCTTCAGATGACACCTACCGTCTTTCCTTCATAGGATCCTATCTCGATCCACCAAGTGGAGACTCGGATCCATTCTCCCGTTGGTCGGCGACCAACGAGAGTATTAAGCGCTGTCGACGTGAGTCCCCATATAACAAATCGTAAATAAATTTGAGTTTCTACTAAATGAAGAGCCAGTGGGCTCTTTTGCGATGAGAAATCACCGGCACGTCAATAAGCGCGCCTGTTGAAGTACTTGACAAGCCCAATCGTTCTTCCCGCTTTGCTCTTGTAGTGGCAAACGCATTGATCAGCAGCGGTCTATCGCTTAAGTGCTAGATTTTTTTCTAGAGTTCGGTAGTAATTTATAGTACTATGTCGCAACATGGGGTTTTGATGTTTAGAGCATCTCCACCGGTGTGTCGCTATATCTATAGACTCGTTGCCTTCCGATTGGCCGGAATGTTTTTAGCGATAGACACCGAGAGGCATCACTCACCAATCTGTCGCTATGTGGAGAAATCGTCTTCTGCGAGAAGCTCTTGACGACGAGGAAGAGGCGTACGTCTGCTCGCTACTTTTGACCCCTCGCGCACCGAAAAAGAGAAAACACGGCGGTTCACAGCCCGGCAAGGCTGCAAATGTCGACAGAGACTTCACTGCGGCTAATGAGATGCTTGTGCGGCGAAGTATCGCCGCACAAGCATCCTGGTACTATCGTACAGTATGACTGCAAGATTAGCGTCCAAAGGTTGTCCGCCCTCTGATCGGCCCCTGCGATTGGGTAGCGCACCACACCGTGCACAGGGCGGCGTCTTCCTTGTCCGACCAAGCTTTTCCTCGAGGCATTGTTCGTTTGCAAGTGATCCAACCTCCTATAGATTTCAGTCGCTATGGCGTCCGAAATAGCGACCGAAACCCCCCGGTAGCTAAAAAATTGGCGATAGAGACGCCTGGTGAAACCCCAGTAGTTATCAATTTGAGCTCTTCAGTCGCTATATAGATATAGAGCCCCACCGGTGGAGATGCTCTTAATATTGTGAAGGTGAAAATGCAAAAATGGAAAAGTAATATTTGCGACAGTAGTAGTACTTCTACTGTTCTGATACAATCTACTACAGTACTCGGTCGTTACTGGGGATAACAGGTTTACCAAATTATAGAGGACTGAAGAAATAGTGTTCTTCCATCTAGTTTTTACTACTGAATCACATGAAAAGGTAGAATTTTTCTTCAGGTCGAGTGCCGTCCCTGGAGAAACTCAGGATTAAAATCCAGAAAGCTTTATGTTTTACGAGAAGGCATCGGTCTGGTTCAATAAATTATTCTCTAGAACTCTGCTGCAACAACAACTTCCTCTGCTTCGTCGGAATCCTCGCCATCCTGCAAAGGACACGGCAAAAATCGCCTCGTAATCTCCCTCCACGTCGAAATGCCGATGAGTCGTCTACCCGCCTCGAGGTCTTCCATAATCGAGAAGCACCGAGTGTGGCCTTCAACACCGAAGTTGGCGCGGAAAAGGTCAGAATAGTCGTCGATAGGGCCGATGCACTCACTGTGGTGAGCACACGCGATCATTTCCATTTGTTCATTTGCAGCCCATTCATTGTAGCCGAGAATTTGGGCAGTCTCGAACAAGGCAATGCTGTATAGTTTCACCGAGTCATCATCCTCTGTTCCATCGGAAATTGTCGGAAGTAGCGGGGTTCTAATTTTTTTCTTCCATGCTGCTCCTTGACTTTCATCTGCGAGAAGAGATACTGCACTCAGAGTATTGGAGTCGTTGCAGTTCTCGTACATATTCGCCAGTCCACCGCTGATATTGTACGTGTAGCTGTAGCCTCCCAGATCCTTGGCATCCACGTAGTCAGCATACTTGTACGGGAGGTCTTTGAAGAACGGGTACAGGATATTATTCGGCTCTTGCCAGACATTCACGTACGTCTTGCCGTCGAAGGCCAATGCACGCATCGTGATATTGTCGGAGCCGCTGAAGTTTCCTCCACCCGATCGAGCACAGGATGTCCAGAACCGCGGGTCGCTTTTCTTGGCTGCTGCAGACAGGAAAAGCTTTTCGTCTCCGTTCTGGCACTTGAGGTAAATCGTTTGGAGAAGGTCGATAAGCGAGTGATGCGAGTAGAAAACCGGGTCAACTGGAGCCTGGAAGTACACCATTACTCCACCCAGTGCGTTGTGAATAGCGTCTTCGTTAAGAGGAAACAAACAATGAGCCTAGTACATCAGGTTAGCTATTTTTGGGGTCGTGTACGGGTAGGGCCTGATAATTGGGTCAGGCGGGTTTCCTGACGGCCCTACCAAACACAGGACCAATTGCTAAGCTACATATTGAAGTGAAAGATACGAAGCTAAGCAGTTGGGTTAGAATGCTTAGACCACGATGGTCTGCGCGGCACGAGGTTGGTCGGCTTCAGTGTCGCCTTCATCGGCATCACTGTCATTGCTGATCACACCTGCGCCCAAATTGGTAGCAGCAGCGTCCTCTTCGCTGCTAGTACCAGAGACGCCCTCGTTGTCATCATCACTGTCGACGTCTACAGCCTCGTCATCTTCTTCACTGCTCGATTCTTCTTCTTCTGTAGGAAGATCCTGTTGGAAATGGAGCCTGACCCAATAATCAGGCCTGACCTGTATACGACCCCGTTAAAATTCTACCGTACATCACACACCAACTAGACACAAAAGAGCTACGTACTGTGGACGCCTCGCTCGACGGCCAAGGTAAAGTTTCCCGAGTCGCTGTACGTGAACACTTGCTGAAAAACGGAGCCAAAGGAGGCTTCGGTCGGATACGTGGTAGCGCTCAGGTATTTACTACGCGTTCGGATAATGCAGTGTGCGCAGCCCGTATTGTTCCCACAGAAGCGATAGGGGAGGCCTTGATTCACACAGATTGTCCTGGACGAGTAGGCGATGTTCGTTCCGTAGACCGACAGAGTTTTGCTCAGTCCGGTGGTCGTCCCACCAAAGTCCGTGATGATAGGCGAACATCCTTCAACACTGGCACAATTGTTGCTAGCTTGACGGGCCGACGCCGAGAGGTGATCCCAGTAGGGCAACGTAACGCATTCAAACGAGCTGTTTAGACTGCGCAGCATATTCTCGTAGCCGAGCAGCAACATTCGGTGCCAGTAGATGAAGACGCACGTCTGATGCGCCTCAAGACCCGTGAGTTGCTCAGTGTGAATCTGCACAAACTTTTGGTGGAATCCTCGATCCATTGCTACACCAACAGCCTCGATGTAGAGCGCCTTCTCTGCATCGGTATAGGCATCCCATGGTTTGCGAATTCGAGGTTGGGAGCAAGATGTACCAACTTGTTGAGCGTGGGCGAGGAAGTGGCAAAGACACAGCAACGAGGCTATTAACCAGAAAATAAAACCTCTTGATGGTGGCATGCTTGGATCTGATGCGTGTCAAAATCTGCAATGACACGCCAATGGGGTCCATTCGTTGGGCAATCAAAGATTTCGCGACTTTTGGCGTTAAGATCGCGATCCAGTTTTTTCTTTTTTTTTACTTCTGGAAATGACGTTTTTGGGGTGTCCGTCCATGAGTAAGCACACAAGGAAAACGCATTCGTACAGGATGTTTACAGTCAGACAGTGTCGGTGTCTCTAGCCACTAAAGACGAGGGCCTGGTTAAAATTTGTTGCTGAGAAGATTGTCGTACTACTAGTGGGAGAGACTGCGACTGCATCAGCTACATATCTGCGGGTACTGGGGTCTAGATTGCTTCCAGGACGCTCTCAAGGCGATATTGTGTGGTATGGTAGCTTTCTATTCGATCTGCGTACGCAATTGCGAAGAGGGGGACTGTAGGAGATAATTCCTCGACTTCGACGCCTTCAAGGTGGGTACTGTTATCACTCTTCTCTCCCATCCCTCGATCGACCTTCTAGGAGAGGACAGCAGTGAGGTGATGAAAGGAAGGCCTCTCAGTCTCATATTTCCCCGCCATGGTGCCTAGCGCATCAAGTGTGCTCTGTCGCCCATGGCCGACCCTTAGAAGTTGGAATCCGTTCGCTCCGCCGCCGCCTCCTCCGGAAAGCGCGTCGCTGCTCAATCGAATGCAAGAATTCGCAAATCGCGAGCTTCTGACGTCCCGGGCGCTTCTCACCGACTTCCAGGACTTTATCCAGCAGGGGAACATGATCGACATGGCGGTGGGTCTCATCTTGGGCTCATCCTTCTCGGCATCCTCGACTCCTTGATCGTGGATGTCATGTCCCCAATTATCAGTCTTGTCACCGGTAGGACCTTTATGAGGACCAACTTAAAGATGTTTCAGTCGCTCAACACCCGTTTCTTGTCAGTGAGCATTTTGTCACCGATCGTTAGGCTTGCACCTGGTAAGAGGCTGCGTTTCTAATAATGATAGAATGTACTGATACCAATTTGTACAACAGACCGGAGCCTCGCCAACTATTACTGGGTCGTATGGTGCCCAACAACTGCCACTAGTTGCTCAAGTGAGACTTGGGAGACTTGGAAACAAGGTACCTGATAACAAAATGAAAGCATTTGTCCTCGTTGGGTAACTGTCTTGCTGACGGTAACTTCGCCTCCAGCTCGTGAAAGACGGAGTTGTGACCATCAACTACGGCTTGTTCATGGAAAATGCGGTGACCTTCTTCATTAACGCCATCTTCCTGTTCTTGGCGGTCAAGAAAGGTGCGTCGCATTTTAAGTTTTTTTTTTTTGCTGCTGTCTTTGAGATCGTGGACAAACCGATTTGACACCATTGTTGACTTACCGGTTTCCAGTGTTCGAAGTAGTGTTCAAGCGTAGCGTGCTGGTCAAGAAGCAATGCCCACACTGTAAGGAATTTGTGAAGGGTGATGCAACTCGATGCAGATATTGCTGCTCTGACATGGAGTGTCCTCCAAGTTCGAGAGGTTTTTGGATGACACCTGGCTGAGATTACCGGTCCACCACTCAGTGTTCTTTTAATAAGCTTCTTGTTGAGGGTTATTAAACTTCGCCTACCTGAGTTATCGTTGATGATAAACCTTTTCTTTAACGTTCTAGCACTGCTCCCTCGTCCTTCACCAAAAGCGCGTTTGTATTCTCTGTGTAGCAACCACATCCATGGTCGCTGTAGCTACGGTCTTGCCACATGGTACACACCTGTTGAAAGTCTTGACGCCTCTGCCGCTAGCTGACGAAATCCCGTCCATATATTCAAAGTAAAAGTTTCTCTGGCCCTTCACTATCTGCGCCCTTCATGCGTTGGAATCCGTTCGCTGCATCGCCTCCCCCACCAGAAAATGCGTCGCTGCTTGGCCGCGTACAGGAGCTGGCGAGTCGTGAGCTGGTAACAACGCGAGCGTTGCTCACGGACTTCCAGGAGTTTATCCAGCAGGGCAACATGCTCAACATGGCGGTGGGTCTCATTCTGGGGTCGTCCTTCTCCGCTATTCTCAACTCTTTGGTCGTGGACATTTTGTCGCCGATCATCAGCCTATTTACAGGTATCAAAACAGTACTTACTTACCAACAAGGTGGTTGTGACGAAAAAAATACTAACTCGATACTTTACTTCAGAGCGAGGCATAGCGAACCACTACTGGCCCGTGCGATGCCCGTCAACGACCACCGTGTGCTCCGGAGAAACATGGCAGACGTGGAAGGAAGGTAAGACGGGAGATTTTCACGCAGCTGCTGATAGTCGTGCTCATTCGAATCGACAATGTTTCAGCTCGAGATGCCGGTGCTGTGACCATCAACTACGGGCTGTTCATCGAAAACATCATGAACTTTGTTATCAACGCTCTCTTCTTGTTTATTGCCGTCAAGAAAGGTGTGTAAATGCTTCTGGCCAGTGGTTTGGAAGAGTAAAAAGGAATTAACTTAAAGTGGTGGCTGTGCTTTCTTCTATAGCATTGGAGTTCGTGTTCAAGCTCAAAGTGGGCGTCAAGAAGCAGTGCCCTTATTGCAAGGAGTTTGTGAAAGGGGCAGCCACAAGATGCAAGGACTGTGGCTCGGATATCAGTAGCCAGCCGCGCACTGGAGGGTAAAACACACTTGATCTAGACCTTCGACTTGGTAAAACCGCTTATTCAAAACGGATAACTTCACTTTAAGAACCTTCGACCCTTTCTTACACTTTGTCTTGCACCGTCGACAGTCGAGACATTGAGGACGGAGACGTAATGACCGAGGCTGGCAGATCTCGCAGTAAACGCACCGCCTCCTCCACTGAAATACTGGGGTCATTCGCTAGAATTCGTGTGATGATGTTGGTGGAGGCCACAATGTCATGTAGCCGACTCTTGGCATTCGCAATGGAAAAACGGATTTTGCGCACCGCCAGCTTCTCCTGCATATCCGACAGAACTTGGATAGTCGTAGCGTCCAGGTCATTCATGTTGCACATATCCAGCACCACACCGCACGTGGTGATGCCGTTCGCTTTCAAACGGGCCATCTCACGCTCAGCAAAGAGAGCCACTCGTTCGCAGTTGGCAAAGTACAGCGAACTGTCAACACGAATGACAATGACGTCGCCAAGATCGCGTGCTTGACTGAAGAGTTCGCGGTCGACAAATCTCCCGTTGTTCAGCTGGCCGAGGATCACAACGGGGCTGCGTCTTGGTCTTCCACATGAGTGCCAACACAGAGCAGACAATGGACGCAATGAGGCCGTCCAACACTCCAAGACCAAGCGTCAAGACGAAGGAGGCTGTCCAGACCACAAACTCATCACGTTTAACACGGTGGAGCCACTTGGCCTCCTTGAACTCGACCAGCGAATAGCCGGCAACAATGATAATCGACGCCAGTGTTGCACTCGGGAGATAGTACATAGCACTAGTCAGTGTGTATAGCGCGATGATCACTATCAACGTCGTGATGATGGACGACAGTTGCGTGTGGGCATTCAACAGATTGACAGCAGTGCGAGACATACCGCCCGTAGGGGGCATGGCCTGGAAGAAACCGCACACGACACTGGCAACGCCCAGACCTGTGAGCTCCTGATCACAATTAATATCTTCTCCGCGTTGAATGGCCAGACGTTTGGCCATAGCGATACTAGACAGGAATACGACGACTACGACAGTAAGCGAGTTGTACAGAATCGTTCCGAAGCGATCACTTGCGATAAGTCCCTCGTCGAAACCATACCACGGCACCTTCGGACCAGGAAAGCCGCCTGGGATCGTACCTGTGAGCTTCAGACGTGACGAACCCAAACCGTATCCAACGATACCACCGACAATACACACCACCAAAGGACCAAGGTCACAAATTGTACGCACAAGGAAAATGCCGAGAAGTTTGGCCTTCGACTGCTTCGGCGTCTCCATAACTAGATTCTTCTCGGCCGCTTCATTTAACGGAGTATGATCACCACAACGTGCACGCGCAGACTCCATACTCACATATTGCTGATCCGTTAGTGAGAATCCATGGCTGTGCGTCACCTCCGATTTGTTGTTTACCACAGGAGTAGCAATCGGTTCAGTCTCTTTCTTGGTCGGTTTGTCCGTCTCGGAGAGCTGCATCAACACTGGCGATGGGAAGAATTTCTTCTTGAAAATCTTTACACCAACGAGGTAGATGATGAAAACGGCAGCAACTGCAAACACAGTCAAGTTGGTACTGCCGATGTGGTTAAAGATCTGGTACACTGTCTGTGGTGGGTAGTCCTGCGACGGGAACTTGATACCCAAGGCGTTCGAGAACTGCGATAGCATGATGAGGATGCCGCCAGCCGACACAAACCCTCCCATAACTGGTCGAGAGAAGAAGTCTGCGAGTTGACTTAGGTTCAGAATCCGTACGATCAACAGGATGCAGCCACTCAAGAAGGCCATCATGATACCGGTGGCTACTCGTTCGTTCTCGTCGTCAATGTCCTCGAGAATGGTACCGACTAGCAGTGACACTTCAGAGCCACTGGAGACGGAGAGAACCGTGCTGGAGCCGAAGACAGCGTACACCAAGGGGGCCGTGGCAGCCGTATACAGGCCGTGGTGGGCTGGGACGTTCATGATCGTAGACAACGATACTTCTTGAGGGATGAGCATCATGGCCACGGTGATACCAGCCACGATGTCGAATTTGAGGTCTTTAGCCACGTTGTACTGCGGCAACCAGCGGAAGATCGGCGCGTAGTGTTGTAGCTGCTGCATCCACGTCCTCTTGGGCAGAGCGAATCGCTCGCTCTCGCGATGGCCCGTCAACTGGCGGATGCACGAAGCCATTGTGGATTGTGGGCTTGGGCTAAACGCAGCAGATTGAGGAATGACTTACTCCGACGTGCATGGCGGACGGTCTCAGTTGATCACGGTGAAGTGGCTCAGAAATGAGCATCGTGACTTAAGAGAGTGTGACACGCGCTGCTAGTTTCGGAGAGGGAATGGCCGCCGGTTTGACGGTCCTTGCACACCAATGAAGGCGACGGGCTCAGTCGAGGTGGCGGCGTGGGATATTGAGATTACTGACACGTGATCGCCAGTGCTGGAGTGACGAGCGCCATGCGGTCTAGGCCAGCTACATGTACAGTATTGCCCAGGCCATTTGCCGGCCTGCACATGGATGAACTGGAAGATCTGACCTTGCCGCAAGGTCAAAGCCCTGTCATTGACAGTGTCAAGGCTGTTGGCAGGGTGAGCATGAACTTGTTGCTTGCTCGTAGGATCTTTGACGGATGCAAACTCACCATGGACAGTGTCAGCAATGCAACGCCGGAATGCCGAGGGAGTGTGTCGACGGCGTTATGCGTTGTCATTGGTGCGTATTGTGCCAATGCAGTCAACAGAATACAGCACGTCAACGGGTGAGCGCATGTTTGCGCATTAGTCTCCTTTTCTCTTGATGAGGCGGGCCACTTTCGTCTACACATGCTCCGACCGGCGAGAAGCTCCAGCTTAAAAGTCTTGATCGTACATTCATTTATTACAGCGACAAAGTGTCAATTCTAGGGCCTTTGCTAAATGCTGTGCACTCTTGAAGACCGCGTTAATGCCTGGTTCTCGTCAGGCATGTCTTCTTCGCGGATAGCCTTAATGGCTTCTGAAAATCCAATACGAGCGTCATTGTGTACGATACCCACGAGGAACTCTGACGTCTGCAGCAAATGTTGGAGTCGATCTCGCGCGTTCACAATCGCCAGCATGATGCCTTGCCCTCGAAGTTCCGCCTTTAAATGCTTCATCATCTGGATAGTCGTAGAGTCCCAGTCCATAATGGAACCAGCGTCAATCACCACGCCACGCACAGCCACACCCTCCGTTTCATGACGCTTCCTAACCTCACGCTCCACCACACGCTCAATGTACTCACAGTTGGCAAAGTACAAAGCGCCTTCCACACGGATAGCTACGACATCCGACAAGGAGCGAGCAGTATCCGGATGCATGTCCAGCTCCACGATGCGGTTTTCTCCCGTCTCGGCATCAGTCACTTCGCCCAACATGGATACAGTAGGGCGGCGGGTCTTGTAGATCACAGCGATCAGAGAGCAGAAGATGGAGGACAGAAGACCGGGGAGCACGCCGAGTAGACACGAGAGCACGAACGACGCCAGCCACACGTAGAATTCGTCCCTCTTGACGCGATACAGCCACTTGGCTTCTTTCAACTCGATAAGAGAGTATCCTGCGACGATAATGATCGACGCCAGACTCGCCTTCGGGAGATAGGCCAATGCGGACGTGGCCGTGTACAGCACGAGTACCACGACGAGCACGGTGATGACACTCGCGAGTTGCGTTCGTGCATTCTGCATGTTGACAGCTGTACGTGAGAGGCCGCCCGTAGACGGCATTCCCTGGAAAAACGAGCCAACGAGGTTTGAGAATCCGAGCGCGATAAGCTCCTGGTTGGGCCGAATCCTGTAGCCTTCCTTGATCGCCAGCCGCTTCGCCATAGCGACACTGCACATGTACGAGATGATGGCGATCGAGAGCGTGTCAATGAAGAGATGATACAGACGATCAGCCTCGATGATATTCTCGCTGAATCCATACCAAGGCCTCAAGGGCGCTGGGTATCCGCCAGGAACGTCTCCAGCTAGGTTGAGAGACCCCTCTGGCGCCATGTAGCCCACAATTCCACCAAGTAAGCACACCATAAATGCACCAAGATCACAAACTAACCGGAGTGCGATTAGAACTGCCATCTTGGAGCGCAGCAGACGAATTGACGTCGACGACGCAGCCATCATGCGCCCAGTTAAAGCAGTTGTCGAGTCTGACTCGGATCCTGTCTCGGACTTCGCAGGAGATGCAAGTTCCTTCACACGTCGTTTCATTTCAGCTTCGGCTTTTGATTTGGCTTCAGCGCCATCGTCCTTGTCGTCGTGGTGTCCAGGTCGCTCCACTTTCGGTTGAATTGGATTCATTCGAGGCAGTGGCGGACGAGCTGAACCTGTTTCATCCGAGCTAGAGCGAGGCATTCCAGAAGCCCCAGCACCATCTGGTCGAGTGCCAAAATCCAGAGGCCTCTCGATAGTAATATAGTCTTCATCTGACAGAGAGAACCCCACACCTTCATCGTCCAGGCGTCCATTGCGATTGCTACGAGTAATTGCAGCCAAGTCTCTCTGACGACACGACCGAGCCAAATCCAAATCACTCAAGCCAAGATCCCGACTATTGCGCGCCGACGACACCCAAGGTGACGACAAGACGTAGTCACGACGTCGCAGAGAGCCTGTCGTGAACACGGCCGGTAAATCTGCCCACCTCGAGCCACGTGGAGAGACCGACAGCCCTTCCGCATCCACTCCAGCGTCATTCTTTCTGGCTTGTCGCTTCTTGGGCTTAGGGACGTCGCCCAGCTCAATATCTCCCTCGTAACTCGCAGCTCGTCGGTCGTCCTTGGCATCTTGGCTGTCCTCTTCATTCTCGCTCATGTCCCCGTTGTCTCCACTAGCAGAGCTCACACTCATCGACAGTTGAGTCAAAGCTCTGGACGTCTCAATGGCGAACTGGTCTTCAAACTCTTCCTCGACCCTAACCAGCTCCTTCACCACTCGCCTCTTCAACTCGTGCATCCCTACTAGCACCATAATCGAGAATGCTCCCACGGCAAAGCTCAGTCCGTTGAGATCTGGGAAGTGTTGAAACAAATCCAATACCGTCAATACCGGTAAATCTCGGCTCTTGACTTCCAGTCCCCACCAGATCGCGACTTGGGACAACATGATGAGTACTCCTCCAGCCGAGATAAAGCCGCCCATAACGGGTCTAGAGAAGAAATCTGCAATAACGCCAAGTCGGAACATGCCCATAAAGAGCAGCACCACGCCACTCAAGAAGCTCAGTAAAATACCGGTAGCGATCCTCTCTTCTTCACTCTCCACCTTCTTGATAGCAGAGCCGACTAGAAGACTCACTTCCGCTCCGTTGGCCACCGATAGTACCCGAGATGTACCAAATAGTGGGTAGATCATGGGTACAACTGCTGCTGTGTAGAGCCCGTAGATGGGGGGTACCCCCATGATGGCACTGAGGGACACTTCCTGGGGTACGAGCATGAGTCCGACAGTAATCCCCGACACCAAGTCGAACTGCAAGTCTTCACGGATATCGTACGAGGGTAGCCATTCCAAGATGGGCACATGCTGCTTGAGGAAGAAGAGTAACCGTTGTCGGGTGATGTTCTGCCGGGCCTCGCATGCTGACGTCCATAGCGACGATAGTAGAGCTCCAATGCAGCTGAGTGATAGCTCATCGGAGGAAGGAGACGGTGGGGTAGCTGACGGCGGCATGGCCAACCTGTGACTCGCCCTGGGAGCGGAGAACGCGCGTTGAAGGCGAAGTGCTGCCGAGGAGTGTGAGGGTCGGCTGTCTCTTTCGCAATGAGCATATGATTCTCCGGGCAGGCATGCTTCCATGACGTATCTTTCAGCTCGATACCTATTTACCTCTTCAAAGAATATGCTGACATTCTCAGCTCCCCTTATATGAAATATATGCATAAAAAACTCTCACACTATCAATTATGTCGGACGTCAGGATCAAGCAGGAGCGCACCAATGGCTCCAAACCGAACGGCGATGGCGACGCTGCAGCGCACAAGGTAGCGCGGTATTAAGTGTCTATAATCGCCCACTCCAATACTGACCAATCTGTTTGCTACGTTCAGGTCTCGGAGGCGTTCCAAGCGGCAGTTGGGGAGGACGAAATGGACAGGAGCAACGCGCTGCTGATGCACGCATGCAACTGCGATGACGCGCACTGCCGCGACCCACAATTCCGAAGTTTGTGCTCGCACATGAAGCGGTTCCTACGTACGGCCTGCTGGGCCTCTCATAGCGAGAAGTGGCGCTCGTACCCCATCGGCAATGCTGTCATTGAGCTCTTCGCATATCACGCGCTCCACTGCCAGGCGCTGCAGTGCAACGTACCGATGTGTCGACAGCTACGCGGCCAAGTGTTGCTGTGATAGTTTTTTTCTCTCATCTCTGCAGGTACGGGCTAAATATTAACACTAAACGTCTTCGTCCTGGTGAACGATGCTGTGAGTTGTTTATGAGATCACCAAAGGTTTGTCGCTGCGTAAAAGAATACTTGGACCTACTGTCTGCAATCCTTGTCCGCTACTGCTAAGCTATTAAATACGCATCGAATGAATGTTGCGTGTTTGACGCGGCATTGACACCTGCTGTCAATCTCATCGCCGTTACGGTACCCCCAAATAGGCATATGAATGCATCGATGCCTGCCTTCAAAAGCATGAAGCAGACCGAGTTGAGCATGGACAGCCGCGCCTCCACTGCGCCAGCTTCGAAAAGAAAGAAGTGGTTACCGAAACAAGCTTCCGAGGCTTCAAATCTACTGCGCCATGCTTCGAGGAATAGTGCCGATTCGGTAGCTGTCGATCGCCCCCACACGTGCCCGACACCTGCCCTGACTCCGCAGTTCCATTGGAATCTAAACAACTCGGCACTTGAGACGTTGACTACGTGCCAGATTGAGCAACTTTACGGATTGTTCAAGTTTTACGACTCCTCCACCATTGGCGACACTCTCTCGTCCATCAGCTGTGCACGACTTCAAGAGATCCTTGGCGATGCACGGCTTCTAAGCGACCATTCTACCGATTCGGCCGAGAAGAAGCTTCATGCTGAATCCGTCGAGCGAGTCTTTGCCCAAGCAGCCATGGGAAAAATGCGAGTGTATCTCGATGCTGACGGCCAGCCTGCTCTCACATTTCCACTCTTTTGTGGGGCTCTATTGAACTGTGCAATGCTACTGAACCCATCGGCACGTCCTGAGACCGCCTTACAAGAGATCCTTCCAATCCTACTCGAAAGCTCCAGCGTGGACGGCATTGCGACTTCAACTGCGAAAGGCTTGCTACGTCACTTCTCTTCTTACGGTTCAGCGTCGCTTTGGACGCCAGAACAGTCGCAGCTCTTCCACACACAAGACTCGCATCAAGATTTCCGAGAGCAATCAGCATTCCAGCAGGTCATAGCCGACTGTGCACGGGACAGGAACCTCGAGGAACTGAAACAAGAGAAACTGAGAGCAATCTACGACATTCCTGATCGACTGGTGGCGAGTTTTCACCCCGACACACTTGAACTCATCGTGAGCAAGTTCCACATGTTCGCTTTCAACGATTGTGGCGCAGTACCGCGACAAGAAGTCTTTTCGTTGCTTTCGTGCTTGGGCATGCGAGTAGATCTTCCGGACCCATACACAGTTCTAGCTAAGCTACCCAACATCGTGTCCAGCGACCCTAACAGTGGTGAACTCACGCTGGTCCAGCTGCTCCAAGTCGTAGAAGTAGCCCGGGAAGCAAAACGACATTCAGCTACGTCAAAACTCGCAGCGATCAAAATCCGAGTGGATCGAGCAGCGACAGCAATTAAAGGCAGCATTGTGCCAACGACTCCCGTGCTTGCGCCTACCGTAGACGACGCTAACAGTACCAACGACTCACGGAAACCTTCAGCAGGTACCAGAAGTGGCAGCAATGGACCTTCTACTGGTACTCGAGACCGTGGAAGGAGACAAGCGGCGGTTGCCATTAAATCTCGCAAATCGATACTTGCCAATACGGACGCAAACGCGGCAAGCCAACCACTGCTAAGCAGCAAACACCAAAACTCGAAAACTCACCTGAACCACGTTTCCAGCAAGAAAAGAACAGGGACACGGAAGAAGTTGACGATGACGAGTGATAAGATCGAAGCTTCGGTAGCCGATTCGGACTACGAAGGGTCCGTGATGCAAACCCAGCGCTCCGTCACAACAGCTCGCACAGTTACTAAGTGTACTGAAGACCCCAGCTTGGACAATAAGTGTAACAAGACTGCAGTAGACAATCAAGACCAGGCGGTTCAGTTGGAGTATGTGCCTCGTGTTATGACTGTGCAAGTGTGTGAACCCTTGAGTGCAACTAACAAGAAGAAGATCCGGATCTTCTTGCTACTCGGTGGAGACCATGATGGCGCTATCTACTGCACAGTTTCACTTGCATTCGCGACGAGAAAAATTGAGGAAAGCGAAGGAATCTTCTACTCTACCCAGCAAAGCGGAGCGACACGCACAACACCCGTGCTCCCCACTCAGCACACACTTATCCATGCGCTCCTTTTGTTGAAGAAGTGCGTGCTGGCTAAATTGGAAAAAGGTTACGAGTTGCGGCCCGAGAGCCAGCTTGACATTGTAGATAAAATACTTCAAGCTCAAAGAGACCGTCAACCTCACTGCTATAGTCCTGTTACCAAGAAAGTCAGCAGTGACACAGTTGCAGTATTATCGACGTCGTCGTCGCTAGATTTGCAGACAAAGATCTCGTCTCGAACATCCGAAAGTGCCAATAGGTCGTGCTTAGGACCACGGAGACTTCCACCGCACTCCAAACCGAACGACCACCGGTTCAACCTTCCGCATGACTACAAACAACTCTTCGCTACGTGGGACGTTTCCCAACACGAAAACTATGCGTGGATCCACGATGTCAACAGTGCATCTCCCTTGAAATCGGCATTATCGACGCCAAAGTTGAACCGGAAGGGCCTCCTGTGCCCCCTTCGACAACCGTTTCAATAGACGTGGATTTACTTTAGAAGTACTTCGAAGTAATAAATGAAAAATTTCGGGGATAGGAAATGACGAAGTCCTGGACTTCGACATACACTTTTGTTTTGATTTTGGTTGGCATTGATACAATCTTCTCGATTACTTGTATTGTGCTTTCTACTCAAAACTTGACTGCCTGATTTATTAATCACCCGCGCTGAATGGCCTATGAAATCGTTCATCCTACCATACATCATACGGAAACATTACATGCGACAGGTTTCCACATACTGCAAGCTCAGAGCAGAGCGCATCGGCAACGTTTCCCGTGTCAGCAAACGGTAATGGATCTCCGATCTAACGTCTCGCCTGGTAGCGCAAGAGGACCCCCACCAGCGGGTGCTGCATCAGCTGATGGTGCACGCTGTGGTGGTCGAACACGTGTATCGCCACATTCGGCCCGTGTATCTCCATATCCTGAGCGTACTCGGACGCCAACGGAGACTACACCGCCCCACCCAGGTCCAATACGACGGCGTACACCTCCAGACCGAGAAGCACTGCCAGCGACCCCGACTAGGGCATACCCAACCCCGGGTCCAGTGTCATCCGCAGCCCAACGAGCGTCACTTCTCGGAGCAGCAAGATCACCTGGTGAATCAGCTCAAGCTCGACCTTCTCCAGCCTCTGGTACAGCTAGACAGCCGCGGACTCCACGTTCCACACGACGTCGAACATCACCCCGAGCTGCATCTCCTGTTGGTCAACCTGAGCAGCAGATACCAGCATCCCCAGCGGACGCTACTTCGCATCAATATCAGCTTGTGGTTCAACCTAAGTTGCAGCTGGTGAGTTTTGACCAATCATTTCTAAGTGTTGATTTTTCAGACTATCCGTCAATCACCCTCGGTATCCAATTTTCACTGGAATTGACAATACTTGGACACGGAACACTGCCCTCTCCACTTGGACGAATATTTTCCTTTGCCGCTCAAATCTGAAAACACGCCACTTTGCCAGAGCGTCTGAATTAATAAAGAATCCGTTTTGCTGCTAAAACAAAATGTGCATTCTTTGTGCTAAGAAAATCCTCTCAAAAAATGCAAAATAAAACCGCTAAGCCTTTATTTTGTGAGGTGCGGTACTTGAATTAAAACCCTTTTCAAAATATATTATTTCAAAGACGCAGGGCTATTAATATCTACAGAGATCGATCAACACAATCCGAGATAGAGCAAAGATAAATAGGCTCACTTGGTGTAGCCAATCAACAAGCTCTATTTGGGAAACGCGAGCCCGGTACCGGGCTAAAATACCGGTAAAATAATGGAGCTAAAATCTGGGTCACTAAATATTGTCTGAATTTTGTCTGGTCCCCTCATCTGTAATTCCTTTAAATTATCCCCAATAAACCTGTAAGCTGAAGAGTGGGTGGGTCGTTCACATGTTAACCAAAACCCAATTTGAGGACACTGATCAAGAATGACCACACCACGCGTCCGGTTCAATTGGGAGGACGCGGTGGCGCAAGACCGCGATTTGCAGCGCATCGACGCGTTCGTGAAGCTCACTATCTCCAAGTTTCCGGGACAACCAGCGCCGCGGGCGAACATTGGTCGTGGCTCGCGCTATCAGCCAGCACCACCTGCCGTTAAGGCAGAGCCGCCCCGTAGGTTTCCATTTCTAAGTGACATATCACATTTCCATTGTCGATAATGTGATTTGTAACCATATATTTCTTATTATGTCCTAACTGCCGCAGCAACAATGGTCACCACAACACCAGCCTCCAATGGCTTCACCAATGGCACCACCAACGGCAGTAGCAGCTCAGGCGGCTCGACACCACAGTTTATTAACCTTCGTGACTACCAGAGCGAGTCGTCTAGCGAGGTGGACACACGCGAGGTCAACCCTATGGACGAACTGAGCGACTTTGAAGGGGACGGCCCACAGCAGCAGCAACAGAGTCCCCAGCAGATGGAGCCACAGCAACCAGAACCGCAGATCGAGCACGAAGAGCAGGACGTGGATCATTCCAGGGACGTGGAGATGGAGGAAGAGGATGAAGAAGAAGAAGAAGAAGAGGAAGAAACCGCGTGTGAAGTCTGCAAGAATTCCGACCGAGAGAATGAGATCATCCTGTGTGACGACTGCAATGCAGAGTATCACATCTTCTGTCTGCAGCCGCCGCTGTCTAAAGTACCAAATGAAGATGAAATGTGGTACTGCCCCAAATGCAGAGTCAAGTATCCAACTACGTCAACAGCAAGTGTCAAGGAGGAACAAATGCGAGCTGCTGCTGAGAGTGAGGGGAATGCGACAACGGACGGTATTGAAGCAGCAACGCCGAAGCCGCCTCAGTCCATTCCAGTTCCTGATAACACTCCAACGGAGAATGACCCCACGTCGATACCGGTATGTTGCAATGGATAATCGGTTATGGAGTGCTGTTCTGATGGTGATGTTGCTGAACAGATCGCACAGGTGCTGGAAGGAGACCCGGAGAAGAGCAACCTGCTGCTGGTCCACGCTTGCAACTGCGACGATGTCAAGTGCACAGACCCAGAGTTCCACGTCTTCTGCCCACACATGAAGCGATTCCTGCGCAGTGTGTGCTGGGCGTCCCACAGTGAAAAGTGGCGTACCTACCGACTAGCGCGGATCACGGCCGAGTTGTTCGCGTACCATGCGATGAAGTGTACGCTGCCGCAATGCAATGTGCCGCTCTGCGTCAAGATCCGCGAAGAAGAAATTGTCTAAGGCCCCAGTATAAAGTCAAGCATCCAGTAAGTATCCAGAAGAAAGTGTTTTTTTTAATGAATCTGGTTATTGCTTTTGCTTTCTTGCCTAGTTAGGTCATGGAATCACACGTTCGGTACTCGATCTGGAGCACATAACGCGAAAACGGCAGTTGGGTGATTTCGGATTTTGACCCTTCCCAAATTGGTGGAACTGAATTTGTCCCCGGACCATGCGATACTATAAGTGACTGCAACGAGTACAGCTAGGACGACAACCGAGTTGAGCTCGGCCCTGACAATGGTCAAGAGGCCTTTTGGAGGACCGGAGGGCCGGAAGTTGTGTCAGTTGTCGCAGGCGCTGAGTGCATGAAGATCAGCAAGATAATGGCTCGTGCCAAGGGTCAAGACGTAGGCGCCCTTACATTTGAAGGCCTGCGGATACGTTACCCCCAACGCCAGGATTAGTCGTCGATGCTGTTGGTGACATCTCGACTCCACTTATCGACGACCAAGCGCACAAGTTGCTTGCGAGATGCGAGAAGTCTACTGATGGATCGTTTGATAGGCAGCTCGATCCGAGTTACGTCCAGTTTAAGAATCCTACTACGTAGTGCTTCGACGTATGTAGGAAGCGAAACCAGACGGAACGGTGGCCACACTGATTGTTCAGCTACCGAGCCAGTATGAAGGAGGTGACCTGCCCATTTATCGAGAGGGCAGCGTCAAGTTTTGCCACAATTTTGGGAAAGCGAATGCCATGGCAGAATACAAGCCTATTCGGTCTGCTTGCCACCAACCTGAAGCGAGATCATACCAAGCGATTAAGTTACGAGGTAGCTAGTATTGTTACTGAACTGGGGCCTTGCGAGGGGTTCGCTCGCTCTTCTGCTCACGCATAAATGCACCAAGCATGCGGTCGAAGGAGCTCGTAGCCGAGCAATACAAGGCACGGGTCTCGCCAGGTTTCGACTTCTGAAGGAGGCGAATAACGCGGTTCCTGCTGACAAGAAACTGCTGCAATTTATTGTCAAGTTAAGCTGCTTGATGGAGTACCTTAACATTGTCCATGACTGGGATGAATGGGCGCGCGAGGAGTGGATGATTTGGTTCTCAACCACTGGGAAAAGACTTGGAGGAGGTAGGCACGACGACTGGAAATTGAACTTCTTGAATCCTGGACTTATGATCTGTGGAGACCTTGTGCTAGAAACGAGGGAGACACATTTACGGAGCACGCGCGGCAGTGACGAAGTACAAGATTTGCGATCGTTGCCTGGCCCTCGGTCCTTAGTGTGAAAGATGCTTCCGATTACATTGGCCTGAATGCTGCTGCAATGATGCTGAGGACACGAAAGCCGGTGAGTGCTGTGACGCTTAGCACATTTACGGTATAACCGACGCGGAGAAACCATGGACAAAATTATCGACCTGATTCTGTGAAATTCTGTGCGAGCTGTTGGGTGGAAGCTGGTGACCCTATCCCCATCACTTTCTTCTTCGAAAACGTTGTTTGCCCGCTTTGAGGACAAGTGTGCAGTCGTTTGGTCTCTGGCAGCAGTTCTATCCGAGTTTGATGGGGATAGCATCAGTCAGGCTCATCTGGACTCGTATGAGAGAAGATAAAAGGGCCTTGGAGGTGGTGTTGCGCGTGCCGGATGTCCTATAAAGTAGAAACTCACACGCAGCGCTCGTGAAATTTTCAGTCGAAGCGACGAAGAAATGTAATACTTTCAAGGAATTGTGTCGATCCCAGTTTCTGGACTTGCTGTGGAAGCGATCGCTTTTACTGCAGTGACAATGCTATCTTTGATGCTGTGTCATGTAAACTCATGGCCGCCGACGCAACGCTCTTATGTCCTGCCCTCCAGAAGGGGGCTATGTTCTTAAGCGAACCTGGGTTTAAGGACGAAAAGGCTGCCGTACTGTCATCCATTGCTGCGATTCATGCCGAAGTGGTTGGACGAAGCAATTGCCGCGTTGGATATGCGTTTTTCTTGGGAGGTGTCAGACGCAGAGTTCTCGAGCAATGAGACAATCCAAGTGTTCGTGAGAAGCACCGAAGCCTCCATGTCTATGAAGGAACTACTGTAGTGCAATTTAAAGACATCCAAGCTGCACGAAACTATGCTGTCAAGTGGATGCGTGAAAAACAAGTCGATGCTTTGTTCTTGAAGAGGATGGTGATGGTGTTTGTGTAAGAATTACGAAAACTCGCGATTGGCTTTTGGAGAGGAAGAGGAAGCTGGTCAAGTACCAGGCAGAATTGCGTCGACTATTGAACAGCTCCGATGTGCCTGTCAATAGGAGCGAGAAGAAACGAAAGCGCTCGGTGAAATGAAGTGAGGATGGCCAGAAGGTACGCCACAACGAGAGGGCGTATGGCAGTCTACCGTAGCTACCGGTCACCTATAGGTACATTCTTCATACTCTTAGTAAGCGGCAATGTTGCACACTCATTAGTGAGCGCTAGAGCTTCGAAGTTGAAGCTAATTTAGTACTTCGAAGTATTCTCCTCGTGCTTGACAGTATGGACGGACCCTTATTACAAGGGACGGTTGAGTGATCACGGTTAACTCCACTTGAGAGATGCTGCGGTCAGTCGTAAAACCAGACACCGTTTCTTTTGTCTATAGTTATCAAAGCAAACTTGGTACAGTACACGGCATTGCTTGGAGCACTTCAACACGCCAGCCTCTTGCAGCGTGTAAATGCGGCGTCCTCCTCGTTTTTAACCCAGCGATAAAAGTCACGGACCCCAAGTGGAGGCAGCTTCTGAAACATGTAGTCTATTTCTTCAACCTTACTGTGCCTGGAAGCGACTCCAAGTCAGTTACTACGGTGGCAAATACTCAATTGAACGTGTTTTCGCTCTCGAGACGTACGCGAGAACCACATCTCTTTCACGAGTCTTCATGGTGTGTCTTGGGACCCCAATGCCTATGATCACACTAGTTGTTTTGCAAGAACTAATTCCGCTTCAAGACCCATCAGAAGGATGGCAGAAGAACTACGGCTTCTGGATTCGAATACTCATTTTGGCGCTCGTTGTTGGTCATACGGTCATGGGCCAAGCCAGATTTATGATCGATGGAGTTGTTATCTCTACAATGCGACAGTTACTCTTATCAACTTGTGCAGCAGTGATGTTTATCGTTTGTGCAGCAGCGATTGCAGCTTTTGTCACATTTCCAGTTCCCTTCTGCGTGTTGACAATGGCTCCAGTGTTTTACACGTTCCTCATCATTGCTGTTCGACTCATCGTCGGTCGCCATATCCTCCATGAGATGATTGTGCACTCCGACCAATTGATCCGATTCGTTTGCTTCGTGTGCGCCCAGGTCGCTTTGGCTTGTATTTACCCATCGTACGAAACTCTCTTTCGTATGGCAGAAGGTACTCGCTATCAAATGCTGGTGATTGTGCTCTTACCGATGATCAAAGTAGCGGTGAAAATCATGCTGCTGAGGTGTACAGCTCACATGGAAGACATGGTTCCAGAGGCGGTCATTTTCACTGTGGATTTTTTCAACACACTTTACATTGCCACTAGCATGCAGAGCGCATCCTCGGTGCTTGCTGTCACTGCCATCACAGCGACCGACCTTCTTCAGACGTGCATCATGCTCTATGGCTTACATCGACGCACTGTGTGGATTCGATCCAAATTGCACGAAGCCATCGGTATTTCAAGCGATATGAATTGTGTTCTAACGATGGTTTCTTCTTTGTGCAAAGACCCCGAGAAATTATCAAAGCAGACTCGGGGCAGTATCCGAATTCGCTCGTGTCTCCTGCGTGGTATAGTCGAGTCGAACAAAATTCACCTGCAGTTTCTCGAGAAGATTTTTGAGGAAGGGCGCCAAGTTGTCGAGCAAGACAATGCGACGGGGTTAATTCTCGATAAAGCAGGACCTCGTTCCGCCGGGTCCGATACGTGTAGTCTCCGTCTGTTATGTACACAAAATCGAAAGGATAGCATCATGCCAATGTTGCCTTCTGCGAGTGGACCATCGTCGGAGAACACAACAGCGCACCAAAATATTCAAACAAAAACATCGACAATTCTAATCACGACATTAGAGGTGCTCTTCACCACCGAGTGTATCGTCGTTGCTGCGTACTTGGAGGCGTTTGTTCCGCTGTTTTACTGCAACTATATGCTTCTGATGGTGCATCTTCCGAGTGCCCAATATCACGTGGAGATGGCTGGAGTTACCCAGGAAAACGTCGGCTCAACGGTGCGTCCAGTATGGATCTTTGGGCTTTTGCAGGTGGTGTCGTTCGTGTTTCTCGTTGCGGTCATCAAGAGGAACCTAGGGATGCAGGCGTTACACCAGCTGGGTTTTGTATTGGAGTCATAGATGGCGCTAGTCCAGGGCAAACTGATTATGTGGATGGTAGTCACGTTTTGCTTTCGGGTAGTGCATTTTGGTACGTATTATTTGTGGGACTTCTACACGAACACGTTCACCTGATACAAACAATTTTGTGTACAGGGATGGATTTCACCTATAAGTTTGACTGGATCAAGTGAAGAATAGTATAATATTGCCTCTGCAAGAATAGCAAGTTATGGATGCGAGTGCCATCAAATGTCTTTTGGATCCATGAAGCTGACATACTGTACATATGGATCACGTTAACTAGCCAACGGTCGATATGGATCCCCAGACTCGCGGATTCGTACACTTAAGCACTTTTGGCTGGTCGTTTTGAGCAAACATCATTGCTGCTCTTGTTGCTACTAGGTGGACGCGTGATCGTCAAGAAGCTTTTCTCGTTTTTCACCACGTCGGTTCGATCCAAAAACCACTTGACTATCTCCACGATGCCCGAATACGAGGCGTACGTCAAGACCGATGCCTCCACTGTCCCCCTCGTTGCTGGACGTGTCTTCGGTTCTGGTAGGACACACGTACATTGGGAATTTCTCCTTTATACCCCCGCCTTCCTGTCCGTTGTACTTCACCGACGCCCCAAACGGCTCCAAATCTCCTTTAGTGAATTGCACAGCGCAGTGATACGGATACGCTTTCATGTCTTCATCGGTCTTTTGGGAATCGAAATCAAGCGGCATAAAGGTTGAAAAAGTGAAATGT